GTTGTTAATTAATTTTCCTATTAAACTGCTCTATTTTTTAACTTAAAAACACACATATTGCAAGAAAAAGATACAAAAATAAATAAATAAAAATGCACTAAAGTAGCACTTACCCCGGTCGCTGCTGAACGTCGTTAGAGGATACTGCTTTTCCAAACGCCGTTTTGATGACTTACTGTTACTACTACTATTGGCAGCCACTCTATCGCTGGCAATAACAAGTTTTCTGTCAGCCGTCGTTCTCACTGGTCGACTGGGCGCTTTTTGGCAACTGTTGGTGTCGTGCTGCTGATGCTGTTGATGCAGTTGATGCAAATCGTCAATTGATGTCGCAGTGATGTCTGCCCTTCGTTGATGTGCACTGGTCCCTGCCAGTGACAGTGAGGATGGACACTTTTCACTGCCGATGCTGTGGCTGTTGCTGTTGCTGCTGTCAGTGGTGATAGTGCTGGTGGTGATCGTGGTGATCGGAAGCGATGTCGACGATGTCAAGGAAGCGATGGGTGGCGGTGAGAGCGTAGATAGTGCACTTTGTTCACTTGTACAGTCCTCTCTCAGCTGATAATCACAAGGTGGTACAGCTGCTGCTGCTGCTGCTGCTGATGCTAGGCTGTTGCTGGCGACCACCACTTCTTCTTCTTCTTCTTCGGCGGCAGTAGCCGCTCTTGTGACAGGCTCAGCTGAGGGTGAGGCTGAGGGTGAAGATGATGAGGAGCCAGTGTCTGAGGGTGCTGCTGCTGCTGATGTTGACGTGACACGAAGCAAACTGGTGGTGGTGGTGGCGGTGGTGGCGTCTTCACTGTCGCCTGATTGCTGCTCCTCTTCTTTTTCTTTCTGTGGCTCGAGTGGATGTTGCTGGTAGTGCGAAATCTGGTCACTTTTTCTGAGAATCGATTGTGCACTGCTGTGGCTGTTGCTGCTGTTGCTGCTGCTGCCGGCTGATTGCTGCAGCAATTGATGTTCGATTGGATGCTCCACTGGTGGTGGTAGTGGTGGACTGCAATCGAACTGCTCATGAACGTTGCTCTTCTTGTCGTCTTTACTGTCGTTGTCGTCGTCGTCGTTGTCTGCAGCTAACTCTGACTCTAAAGGCGCACTAATCGAATTGTCTGCAGTTGTCGAAGTTGGCCATTTAGTCAGTGGCTCTTGACTGTGCCCAATTGCAAATTGATTATCAGCCGCCTCAGCTGCAACTGATTGCAGCTGATCACTGCTTTTGGGCGGTGGCTCTGCTGGCCAGTGCTGCTGCTCAATGTTTGCTGCTGCACTGCTGATGGTCAACAGTTGGTCAACAGTGTGATAAGACTGCGCTCCCTGGTCAGCAGTAGTAATAGTAGTCTTTCCGCCTTGACTGGAAGGCTCCAGCATTTGTTTACTCTTATTGCTGTCGTTTGCTGCCTCAGTCACTTTCTGCGTCTCGACAACAGGCTTATCCTGCCTTATCGGGTCCGCTTGCTGACAATCCAACAGTACGTTTGCATTCAGTGCTTCTTCAGGAACATCTTCAGCCTTGTCTGCTGTTGCTGAACACTGTTGATGTTTTGCCTGCTTATCATCTGTTTGCCTAAGCAGCTCACTGCTGCTGCTGCTGGTGCTGGTGCTGCTTGGGCACAAACTACTCAGCTGGTGGGCAGTGAGACCAGTGTCGACCGGGCTGCCAGTGCCAATTTTTTTGACATCCTCTTCACTATCGCTCTCTACGTCAATTGTGTGGTCTTCCATCGTGTTTTTTGCTCGGTGGTGTTGATTGCTCTTCCTTGAAATTATCGATTATTGTGTAAACAATTTAGATCAAGGCAAGAAGGCAGAAAAAGGGCGAAAGTTTCTATACCAGAAGCGCTACAACAGCAGCCGTTAGCTGACACTGCGGAAATTTTCAATAGCAACCATGACACTGAACACACGCAAACCTTTATTGAACGACAATTAGACCAGAGGATTTATGAAAAATTCAGTTTCTGAAATAATAAAATTAATTACTTGTCAGATAGCTGTCACAAATTAAATATTGTTTTGTTTGAGTTTTACACTTTTAAAATTTTAATTTACTAAATTTGGAACAATTCATTACAAAAAAACTATTTTTTAAAGCAAAACAACGATTTTTTAAATAAAAAATCAAATTAGTTTTTTAGATTAACCAAATCAAAAAATTATCTAAAATAAATTTTTGGTTTCAGTTCATTCGAAACGTTAATATTGATTTGTTTTGCATGTTTAGGATGTCGCATACACTTGCAACACTTTTGAACTTTGACTGTTGTCTCTAGATGACGTCAATAAAGAAATTTTAGCTGTTCACTAACTATTAAGTTTATCAATAGCTAACATATAATACTTGACAAAACTGAACACAACTTTAACAAGTTTGACGTAATGCTTCTCTAAAAACATCACGTGGTGATAAAAATTTAAGTAGAAGTGTGATTGTAAATGTATTACATAAATCAAATGTTTGTTTGTTTAAAATAAACAAAAACTTATGTTTAAAAGAACTTCCGCATTATATTTAAAAATTGTAACACAATTTAGTTAAGTTAAGTTCATTAAAAAATATTGTTTATTTATTAAAAAAAATTTTTAATTTTTTTATTATCTTGATGTTAAAACAATGGTCGGCAGTGAAGTTTCAAAAAAGCAGTAACAAACTAACAACATAAATAGGCAAACAGATAATGTTCTAGCGTTTTTGCTAAACCGACATTAATCAATTTTAATACATTTTGTTCAGTTATAAACATAATTTAAAAACTTTAAACATTTGATTAAGATCAAATTTAGTATTTCAAAAAAATTTATTTAGTATTTTGTTTAAAGTTATCTAACATTTATGCATTTTTTAGCAAATAGACCAACTAATTTGTACTGATTATATATGTTTTTGTAAATATGTTATTGTTAAAATACATTTGCATTTGTTTATAAAAAATACTATTTATAAATGTTAGGTTTTTGAACCTTTATGATTTTAGAACTGTTAAACTTTGTTCTCCCATTTTATTAAGAGTGGCACATTTCACTGTAGTGTAGATTTTTTTGCGTGAATTGATTAAAGTTCTCTATCAGTTCACGCTCTCTCTCTGCCTTCTATAAAAAAACAACTTTTTTAAATAAAAAAATCTAAATATTTTAAACAAAAAATAACAAAAAGCATTGTTTTTAAACAAAAACAGTTTTGAATATTTGTAATTAAAACGTAAAAAATTTCTTGAGTTTATATTTATAAAACATACTAAAAAAATAAAAATAAAAATTTGTGCTGCTCTCTAGTGTTCATAAATATCATTGACAATGTAAAATTTCCCACAAAACTTCATCTTAAAAAACCTAAATTTTATTTAGACATTTATAACTAAATTAACTAAATTTGTTTATCTAGTTTTTATCAAATTAGATATAAAAAATTTGAGTGCGTATTATAAATACAAACTAAAACTAAATTATCTAATTTTTGCACTTAAAGTTTAAATTAATTTTTGTTTGAATACTAAACCACAAAACTAAAAATCATTTGTATATAATTTTTTAAATATATTTTTTAAATGTTTTGAAAAACTTTTGAAACAAAATTAACCAATTGTGAATTTTTTCTAAATTAGTAAATTTGCAAAAACTAAAATTTAATGTTTTTAACATTTTTAATATAATTTGAAACTGTATAGTGTTTAAATTGTTTGGCAACAGTTGTGACTGATTTGGTAATTTTAGCAAAAACGACTATCATATATACAACTTCAAATACTTATCAGCAAAACTCAAAATGTGTTTCAGTTATCAGAAACTAAAAAAACTAGATTAGTAGCTAGTGTAAATGTTTAAGGGAAAACTTCAGCTAATGACATCAAACTGATAAAATTTCAATTCAATAAAAAAATTGTTTTAAATTTTAAATATAACTAAAAACGTATTTGAATTACATAAAATTAAAAAAACTTGTAAATAAAATCACAATTTCAAATGCAGTATCAATTTAAAAAATTTCTTATTATCTTACCAAAAGGAGTTATAGAATAAAGCTTTTAAAACATTAATTTTAATAAATTATGCTTGTGTTTAATAGAATCACAAAAAAATGAGCATTAGAATCAAGAAAAACCAACAAATGAAAAAATAACAACATAAAATAAAAAATGTGTTAATTGTTTTAAATTAAGTTTAGGTCACAATGCAAATGTCGTTTGTTATGAGTTGACCACTGTTTGGCACTGTAATTTGTAGTGTGGAGTTGTGTTGATGATTTTGCTGAGCACCTTCTCATTTGACATCGGTGCAGCGGCAAAAACAGCAGCCGCAACATTAGCAGCATCACTTTTCCCGAGGCTACCAGTGCATGAGCTGTGCTATGAGGCAGACCGTGTGCGCACTCATCAATGTCGTACTTGGCCATCTTTAAAGCTGATTATTCGACGGTGGCAATGCTGGCAAACGTGTGCAGAGCAGAGCACAGAGCAAAGCTGGTGCCGGTGCCGGTGATGACTGTGATTAGCAGTCTAAGAGAGGGCAAACAACGATGACGGCTGATACCGCCATTGTACTCATGCACATTTACAAACTCTGGCTGTTTTTTATTCAGAGCATTCACAGTAAATTTCAGCAATAAACAAAATTAATATTGATTTGCAAAAAGTCATCAAATGCTTTCAAGTTAGCTTTTATAACTATTTTAAAACCTAAATGAGCTGTTTTTTAGAAATGTAATAAGTTTATACTTTTGCAACTTTGAAAACTTATCAAACAAATAGCAATTGTAAACAATCATTGACGCAAGTTTTAAAACGATTTTTTACGCACTAATTAAAGATTGATAAGCAGCACGAGTTTGATGAGGTGTTTGCTCTCACAAGTGCATATTATTGACATTTTGATAAGTTTTTGATTGTAACCAGATCATCCTACCACATGATAGATTTAAGAAAGTTTTTAAAGTGCAAATTTAAATTAGTAAAATTTTATTGTAATGCATTGTGTTAAATGTTTTACAATTAAAATGCACCAGTTGATTACTTTTTGTTGCCCACATTGGCAATGTAATCGAGAATGTCAATGTGAGTAACAATTCCGGCAATCGTTGCCACATCATCTGACAGCTGCTCCTTGATGGCAACGTACGGGCTCTGGCGCAAAACCTTGATCAGCGCTCCCAGTGGATCATTCACCTTAACGCTAGGATACGTCTTCAGCAAAACCATCTCAACGGGATCATCCAGCGTGGCCACACCCGCAGACACCTTGGCCATAATTTGGTCGACGGTGACCATTCCCAGCAGATTCTTGTTGTCCCCCTGCACCACCGGCAGCTGATCAAAACCATTGACTCTCATCAGGCGGATTGCGTAGTTGCACTTATCTGAACTGTCGATCATGATGACGTTGTTGAAACCTGGTAAACAATTAAATTGAAAATTATTAAAAACTGTTTGTTTGATTGACCAAAAGAGAAAATGAAACCCTTTAGTACCTTTAATGATCTGCGCCACCTGCTGTCCGTAGTACCACGGCTGGTCAGTGGTTTCCTTTCGCGAGGGATAGTTGAAGTCCCGGTTCTCCATCCAGTCGTCATCGAGGAACTTGGTCATGTAGTTGCGGACGCCATCAGGCAGCAGCACCACCACCCGCTTCCCCTTGGGCAGCTCCCTGGCCACCTGCACCGCCGCCGTCACCGCCGTGCCCGACGACCCGCCGCAGAGGATGCCCTCCAGGCGGATCAGGTTGCGCGCCATCTCCAGGCTCTCCTTGTCGTCCGTCTTGATCCACCGGTCCACCACGGAGCGGTCCAGCACCGTGGGAATGAAGTCGTAGCCGATGCCCTCCACCTCGTAGAAGGTCGTATCGGAGGCGTTCAGCTCTTCGGGCTCGGCGAGGATGGAGCCTTTGGGGTCGACGCCGACCACCACGCAGTCGGGGGCGCCCTCCTTGATGCGCCGGCCGATGCCGGTGACGGTGCCGCCGGTGCCCGCGCCGAGCACCACGTAGTCCAGCTTGCCGCCCGTCTGCTGGAGAATCTCCGCGCCGGTGGTGTCGTAGTGGGCCAGTGGATTGGCCGGATTGCGGTACTGGTCGAGGATGATGCTCCGAGGAATTTGCGTCTGCAGCTTCTGCGCCACTCTGATGTGCGAGTTGGCGGCGTCGAAGCGGGCCGAGGTGGGCGTGCGGATGATCTCCGCGCCCAGCGCCCGCAGCACGTTCACCTTCTCATTGCTCATCTTCTCCGGCATGACGATGATGCACTTGTAGCCCTTGACGGCGGCCGCCAGCGCCAGGCCGATGCCAGTGTTGCCTGATGATCCACAAATGATGATAAAAAAATTTGAACACAATTTAGTTTGTGTGTAGCAAAAAAATATATTTCTTTGGTGCTTACCACTGGTGGGCTCGATGATCGTCCAGCCCGGCTCGATGAGGCCATCTCGCTCTGCGTCCTCGACCATGCGCAGGCCAATCCGGTCCTTGACGCTGCCGCCGGCGTTGAAGTACTCACACTTGGCCAGCAGTTCACACTCCAGACCGTAGTGTTTGGCGATGTTGTTCAGGCGAACGAGCGGCGTGTCGCCGATCTGCTCCAGAATGGAGTTGTATATCTTCGGCCGAGGGCCACGCGTTTGGTGTTTGTGAGGATCGGCCGGGCATTTTCCCGAGGGTGAATCACGGTAAAACTTCGCCCAGGTGCACTCGGACGGTTTGTCCGGTGCAATGTAGGGCACTGAGGCGTCCACTAGCGAATTTGAGCGGCGAGACATTCTTGTGCTAATTAAAAAAATTTGTTGATTTTTAAAATTTAGAAATTTTTAAATGTTACTAATTACTTGACTATCTTAAACGTATTAGAGCTGAAACACGCAATAAAAACAAGCACTGGCACTTGTCTTTCTTGTCCCGATAAAAGAGGAAATGTAGGCCTGTGTGTTTGCTTTTTATCAACTTTTTTGCGGTGGCGAGATATATACTGGTGGCAGAAAAAAGGAAACTACTAAAGCAGTATCAGTATGAGGCAATAGAAGAAATGCCAAAATCAATGTTTGCTGTAGAGGACAAAACGATGATGAGTAGACTGGGCAAGTGAAAAACTGATAAGGTTACTTATACAAAGTGAAGGTAATTGAACAAGCCCAAAACTGATAAGTGGTAGTGGTGAATGATGAGGACAAATGATGCTGAGCCAAGTGACAGAGTAGGAACAGACAGATGCTGTGAAGAGAGAGAGAGAGAGAGAGAGAGAGAGANAGAGAGAGAGAGAGAGAGAGAGAGAGAGAGAGAGAGAGAGAGAGAGAGAGACGTCATATCAGGTGTCGTGTTTGCTATATGCCCATACAGAAAGAGGGGGCAGCCAAATCGGCACAATGATAACAGCATTTACACATTCTTCAGCTGTTGACTTTGCTTGTAAGACCATTTTACTTCTTTTTATTTTTGAACAAAAACCAAAATCTTTTTTTTGCTTACAAACATAAAATCTAAATAGCCAAAAAGTGTTTTTATTTATTGTGAAGTTCAGATTAAAAAAACAGTTACAAAACAGTTTTCTAGCTAAAACAATATCAAAATGCAAATCAACTAGATATTAAGTGCTACTAAACACTTCATTGTAATAACTAGGTGTAAACTGAAACACGCTTAAACACGTTTAAATTTTAAATTGCAAAACTTTGAATGCATTGAAGAGAAAATCACTTGAATGATCGAAGATAGGGCTCTAGGGCGTCAATGGCGCGTTGCACATTGGCGCTATCATCTGGCGGCGTGCCATCCGCTTTAGTGCTCTGGTGGTTTCGATTTACCGTTCCGTGGTAGTAGTGGTGGTAACGAGCACTGTCACCACCAGCAAACTCAACCAGCCCTCTAACAGTGTCACTTAACTGCTGCTGTTGCTGTTGTTGTTGCTGCTGTCGGCGTCGTCCGTTGACGTTAACGGCAGTTGCCGACATCTGATCGCGTGTCGTGTCGTGTGGTCTCATGCGGCGCACTTTTGTCTTCGAGTTGCTGATAAAGTGGCGCCTTGTAGGACGAGGACAGCACGACGAAGATGACGGCGAGCAGCAGCAGCAGCAAATGTTGGATGATTCGACTAGTGAACGCAGTGAAGACGACAGAGAGCGACGTATTTGCGATGGCCAAATGCGACTTGCAAAGCAGCCTTTTGATTTAGAGGAGAAGGAGAACGATGAGGAAGAAGACCAGGTGGATGATTTGCGTTGGTTAGTGTTGTTGTTGTTGTTGTTGTTCACTGCATGCCTGAACTGCCGTTTCCTCTTTCCCACTAGCACCCGTTCAATTTTGCCGTTTACAGCCAGGTTATTAGAGCTGCTCTCCTTCCTCAGCTGTGGGTAGAGCACCTCACGGGAGTGCTGCTCCTTGTTGGTGATGCCATGAAGAGGAAACAACTCCAAGGTGTGGTTGAGAATACTGGCGCCAATCATTGACTGTTTGCTTTTGGAGCCGCTTTTAGAGTTGCCAGCTTTGGAGTGACCTCGCGGCAGCGAGGTTGAGTTAGAACGAGAACTGCGACCACCACCACCAGCAGCAGTGTTTTGATTGTTGGCGGCGTTCGGAGCATTCAAACTACTGCCCGCCGCCTCGATCTCCCTTTGCACTTCTTCACAGTTCCAAACTAAAATTTTACCATCGAATGACGCAGTGAACAGTTTGCCTGAAACAACCTGCAAGTTTGTTTTATTAGCCAAAAAAAAGTTATACTATTTACTCATTGATGATAAGAAAAAGTCTAGTCACCTTTATGGCCGAAATTGCATTATGATGTCCGGTAAAGGTCTGCTTCAGCACCCCTGAATTTGAATCGTAAAGTCGAGCCGAGTGGTCATTGCTGCCAGTGTACACTGCAAACGGAGTAAAAAAGAGCGGAAAAACAAAAATAAATTCTACTTAATCTGAAACAGTTTAAGGCCATAAGGCTACACTCCAGAAAGAAATGAGGGCTTTCCTGCGCTTTTCTACAAAGCATGTGTTTCAATGGGGTTTGTTATCATTCTCTTGATACGTTTATCTCAAAAACTACATATCAGAATAAGGTAATGTGAAAAACCAAAATAAAGTTAAAGACTTAATCTAACTTTCCGTAATTAAACATTTGAGTTAAAATTAGTTGAAATTATTAAAATGACAAAATAAATATTTTAACAATTGTTTTGTATATTTTTATCACATTTTATCAAAGTGTTTTAAAACAGAAAGTTAGATTAAGTCTTTAACTTCATTTTTGTTTTTTACATCGCCTTAATCTGATATGTAGTTTTTGAGATAAATTTACCAAGAGAATGATTACAAACCCCATTAAAACACATGCCTTGTAGAAAGGCGCAGGGAAGCCCTCATTTCTTTTTGGAGTGTGGCCTTAAGGCCTTAAGGGTGTTATGATTAACTTACCAATGCCATTGAAGTACTGAATGCAGGTGATGGCGCTGGTATTGCGGTAGTAGATGCGCGTGCACTGCCCGAACTCCATGGCCCAGGCGCGGACGGTGTTGTCAGCGGAGCCGGAGTAGAGGATGCGATTGTGCGACAGCAGACAGAGCACCGCCTGCTGGTGGCCCTTCAGGTCGCGCAGGTGCTCCCCGGTGACCACGTCCCAGCACTTGATGACCCAGTCGGCGCCGGCCGTGTACACGTACTGCGTCTCCTTCGGGTCGACGGCCATGCAGTTGACCGGGCCGCTGTGGCCGGCCAGCACGTGCCGCTGCTCACCACTGGCCAGACTCCACGTGCGAGCGGTGCCGTCCGCAGAGGTCGTCACCACGATGTCCAGCTCCTGGATGATGCCACTTTCCAGGAGGCTGGCGTCCGTCACCACCACGCCCACCTGAGTGACACTTCGCTCGTGACCCTGCGCCGCCAATGTTTGCTTTACTTTAGACTAAAATGTTCCTGAAACTTCTCTTCCACAACTTACCTTGAGAATGTGCAAACAGCCCCCGAAGGTCGTCTTGATCGTTTGCCGATGAACCAGGGTGACGTTGTTTGATCTGCCACCTTTCAGTTTTATCTGATTAAACTCCTCCTGCGTTTGCTCCACTCCCTCCAGTTCTTCCTCTTCCGGTTCATCAACGGAACCGCCACCATTTTCCCCCTGTTTCAAGTTGTTGATTACCGTCAGTCGGTCGGCGAGCGTCCAGATCCGCGCCGTCCCGTCGAATGAGGTGCTCAGCAGCAGTGGCCCATAGCAGGCGATTCGGTTGATGAAGGCGCCGTGGCCAGTCAATGTCATCAGGCAGTTGCCCTCCTCGATGGACCACAGGCGGATGGTGCGGTCGGCCGAGCCGGAGATGACCATCAGCCGGTACACGGCGCAGCAGGTGATGTACCCGCTGTGGCCCACTAGAACGCCGATGCACTCGCAGGGGCTGGACATGGTGCTCCACAGGCGGAGAATGCCGTCCTCGCCGCCGGACACCAACAACGACCGGTCCTCGCTCAGCTCCAGGCAGTTGACGCCGCTGAAGTGCTCCGACATGGCCTGCATCGCCTTGTGGGTAGTTCCGGCAAAAGTGGAGGAAAACTCGGAGCCTCGTCGAGAGGAGCCAAGCAGCTGCGAGGAGACGGTGCTGGCCGCCGTCCGGAGAAAGCTTTTGTGGCGCAGCAGTGACTCAAAACGGTTTGACAGCTTGGAGGACACCGCACTACCTCGCTGGTGCACTTTAATGTTGCTGTTGTTTAGGTTGTCTGAAGTACAGTGGTGGCCAGTCTGTGAGACGGAGTCAACTTGAGAAGAAGTAGAAGAGACAACAGAGAACATGTTGTTTGAGCTGGTCGCCGGCCGAGAGAAGGAGATGTCCTCTTTGGGCGTGCTCAGTCCTGATTGACTACCTCGCCTAACTGATGAGTAGAGCACACCTGTTTCATTTAAAAATGCTTTCTCCTCTTCCTCTTCCTCAAACACTAAGTTGGGCAGTGTTTGCGTTTTGCGCAGCCTTCGCTGTCTGTCCGCCAGTGATGGTCGGTGGTTACGGACATTAGAGAAGTCACTCTGACGACGTCCAGTGGTCAGCGGCGGCAGGTGAACCCTTTCAGCAGTGGTTTTCTTTGTATGAAAGTTCTGCGACACTTCCGAATACTTTTGCTGCAGTTCCGAGTCAAAAGAGGGCGCCTGGCTGATCAGCTCCAATTGGAGAGCACTGTGATCAGTGTAAATTGGCTGCTGTTCACCGTTCAAGTAGTGCTGTCGGCGAGCTTTAACACTGGAATCGGCGCTTGTAGCAGTCGAGGGGATGAACTGATTGTTCATTGACCCACTTTGGTATTGGCGCAGGTTTGAAGGCTTGATCAGCTCTAAAAAACGGCTTTTTGCCAACTCTTTATGTGTCTCTAAGTTTTCCTGTTCCTGAGTTAGTGATGTCATTCGGTTGTACTGCGAGTTCATTGACGACATTGTTGAACGAGAAAACTGACTAACTGGATAGGAGGTGGCTGATTCGTGGCTAAAAATAGACTGCTGTGATTTAAATAGTGATCGCTGATCTTGAGATAGGTTTTTTGATACACTTGATTTTTTGTCAAAAGTATTTTTCTTTGTAACTGGGTATTTTTTCATTTCTTCACTTTGTTGAGATAAAACTGGCAGCTTCTCATCTTTGGAAATAGATTCAGGATTGACTCTATAAAGTCGGTGGTTAGCGTCGACGGCGTACTCCCAAGAAGCATCAGTTGAGGCGTTTGAAGAAAGTACTTTTCCATTTTGTAAATTTGCAATATTTAAGTGATCATTCAGTAAGTTTTTAACAAAAACATTAGACTTTTCACTTGCAATTGAGCTTTCTGTTAATGACTTTTTTCGATTTAAAATTTTTTTAAGTTTAGCCGAATCGATTCGCATTCCAAGTAGCTGATCAATTGAAATAACATCTTGCTCGGTTGAAGCTGGCTCTTTAGAGATTACTTTTGGCGGCCCTTCAGAAGATGAGGATGTTGTAGAAGGGGGCGACTTAGTTGATGTAGATGCTGCTGGCGATGCTAATGCATGCGTTGCATGTTGAGCCGATTTCCAACCAGCAGACGGCTTTTGCCGTTGACAGGAGCCTACTTTGTTGTTTATCTTGGCGAATGACTTACTCAGCACTGATGATTTAAAGTGCTTAGTGCCACTTGCATTGCTGCTCTTCGCAGAGCGCACAGTCGATCGGAGTGATGAACTGGCACTAAACTGAGAGTTGAGCACTGTTGATTGGCGAGCCGTGGAAGAGGCCGTCGGATTGTGAACGGAGGATAACCGCCGACCGGGGGTGGTGGTGGGCGTTGCTGATGCACTGGCTACACCTTTAGGTACTGTGTTTGGGGTGGCATTCGCGTTTGCGAAGTGGTCATTATTGTTGTTGGAAATGGTGAAAATTTGTGATGATTTCTGTCGAGCCGAGTGAGGGGGATTGCTAGCACTAGCAGTGTACGGCTTAGAGGTGGTGGACGACGACTGTGAAGAAGCGGTGGTTGCAGTGTTTGCCGTTGAGGTTCTTTCCGCTTGCTGGCGTCGCAAATTAGTGCGATACCCATAGCTGCTATGAGAGGTGATCATGGTGGGCGTAGTGGCTGCAACTGCTAGGTACGAGGATATGCAACCCATTGATACAGTTTGTCTGGTTTTATTTACAAATATTGGGCAAAGAAATACAGTTTAGAGCATTGTAAAGTAAAAAAGTTCATTTTAATCTGCCGGCAGGAAGTAAACTGCGACTAACTAGTGGTGACTGACCAGCGTATGACCTAACGACACACTAAGCAAACAAACAAACATGCAGTGCAACAGCAGACGCCCGGGTTAGGCTTATTCATATGCACCGCCAATCTGAATTTTTGACGCTCATGTTGCTCCACTTTTCTGTTCATTAAAAATGAATGACATTTGATTGCAATTGTGGAAGCAAACCCGTCTGCCACATTTGATAATTTCTACCAGAACAGAGGTTTTTGTACACATCTTACAAATGAGTTTAGTACTAGTTTTTCATTTTTGACTTTTTACAAACATTTTTTAAAAATAATTGTTTTGCGTGTTTTAATTCTAATAATTGACTCAATATATTAAAATGTTATTTTTGTTGTACAAAAAAAATTTATTTGCAAATGCAATCATGTAAATTGTTTTGGCTAGTTTACCCTTTGATAAAACTTGTTTAACTTTTGTCTGTTTATCCACTTAATTATAATAATTGAAATTTTGCAATCACTGCTAATGTTCTGTGAGTTTTGCGGATTTGTTCTGCTATAATTACACTTATCACCCAAGTACCCTCGTTTAGTGCATCAATAATGCAAGAGTCAACTGCAAATGACTGTCCCATTCGTCTCACTCTGTCAGTGCATTGTGCCACTTAACGTGTTAATGTTTACTTGGAATTATTTTAATTGACCAAAAATAAAATTTTTAAAACAAAATTGGCAAATAATTCAGACAAATTAACACTATTGTAAAATAACGTTTTACTATTAAATTAAAAATTAAAAATTTGTTTTATTTTTTTAAAACAACAAATATTTTAAAAAATGCACACAATTGTTAAACTGCAATATACAATTATTAAACAAAGAATTTTAATTTGGTATTCAAAAACAAGTTTTTTAAACTGTTAGATTAGTTACCTAAATTTTAATGTTTTTATTTTTTTGTAAACAAACTTGTTTTACAAAATTTGTTTTTAATAGAAAAATAAATGTGAAATAAATAAATAGATTTTATTGTAAAAATGAAAACAAAATAAAATTGGTGATTTACATTTTTGTGTTGTTTTTAAACAAAGTAAATTTAAATTTTTTAAAAACTACACAAACAAAAAATAAATAACTTGATTAAAAATAAATTACACTAAACCCGCTTCTCTTGCCAGCGAGCGAAAGAGTGAATGAGGTGTTGCAATAAGCCTTTCCGGAGAGTCATACTCAAGCACTTCTCCGTTGTGCATCAGCAAAATTCGATCATAATCAAAAATCGTTTCAATTCGGTGAGCAATTGTTAGAATAGTGCTGCCAAAGAAGTGCTGCCGAATGGTCTGCTGAATGATTGCATCCGTTTCCATGTCTACCGCTGCAGTGGCTTCGTCCAGCACTAAAATGCGTGATTTTCGCAACAAAGCCCGTGCTAAGGATAACAGTTGACGTTGCCCAACAGACAGATTGTCGCCCCCTTCGGTGATGGTATGATTCAGCCCCGCTTCAAATGATTGCACAAATGGACGCAAATTAACTAGCTCCAGGGCAGACCACAGCTCCTCATCGGAGTGCTTGCCGAACGGATCAATATTAAGTCGAAGTGTTCCCGTGAACAGGACTGGGTCTTGCGGAATGATGGTCATGCGGGAGCGTATGCTGTGCAGACCCAAGTCGGCTATATCTCGCCCGTCGACGATAATTTTGCCACTTGCCCGCTCAAGAATTCTAAATAAAGCCAGTGTGAGAGAGGACTTTCCGGCACCAGTGCGCCCAACTACGCCCACTCGCTCTCCAGGCAGGACGATGAAGTTAATTGATTTGAGAACCAGATCAAGATTAGGTCGGTAGCGAGTGCTGAAATCTCGAAACTCAATTGCCCCTTGAGATGGCCACACTTCAGCTAGTGAGGTGGACGTTTGATCAGTTGATTTGGGTTGGGCTTCAGGTGGATCCTGTTCATCCTTGTAGTAGTCAGCCTGGCAAAAAAAACAAAATTTCAAACATTTTTAAATTTGAACACTTTTTTGCATTCTAGCAAATACCTCCGTGGTCATCTTGCAGTACTCCAAACAGCGCTCAAATGAGACGACGCTGTTCTCCAGCTCCGAGGTGACCATAATGAAGTGATTCAGATTACGCGTGATAGTCATCGAGTAGGTGAGCGTCAGGCCGGTGATGCTCGCCTGGATGTTCTCCCGGTTAATTAGACAGTAGAGGGCGTTGGCGAAGACGACCATGTAGCCGAGAAATTCGAGGCGGGTGATGATCCACTGCGTGCAGCCGTTGATGGCCCAGCTGGCCACGTGGTTCTGGTCGATGCGCCGGTTGGACTCGATGATGAAGGCGGACTGCTTGCCGAAGGCGCGGATGGTCGACGAGCCGGAGAGCGATTCGTCAAAGTGCGAGTAGATGGGCGACCGAGTGGTGGACTCGATGCGGCGCAGCTGCCGCGAGGTGGGCAGGAACATCCGCTGGATGACGAAGTAGAAGATGGCCAGGGGGAGGACCGCCCCCAGGACTGGGGGCGTGTCGATGGCGATGATGAGGATGGCGGCGACGGTGCGGAAGGCGGTGAAGAGGGCAATGCGCAGGTTCATATTGAGAATGGTGTCGCAGATGTCGATGTCACGCGAGAAGCGGTTCAGAATGCGACCGATGGGATTCGTGTCGAAGAAGGACATCGGGGCGCGAAGTATTCTAAAGCCAAGGAAAACAAATACACGGGTAAAGTATACAAAACTGTTAAAATAAATGTAAGCTTTCAAATTATACCTTGACAGCATGTCGGCGTGAAGCAGCTTGGCAGCCTTCAGCGTTGAAAAGCTGATCACCAGCGTCGTGAAGAGCGTGAAAAAGCACTCCCCCAGGCCGAGGACAGTGTACACGGCGAGGTTGCGCAGGTTGGTCGAGTAGTTGTCGTCCGCGGGCACCTCCGGCTTATGACCGCTGTTAACCAGCTGCTCTTCCGACCACCGGGACAGCCACTGGGCGGCGGCGATGTTGCACAGTAGCTGGGCGCACTGTGAGAGCAGTATGAAGGCGCAGGCGAGCAGTCCCAGCCGCTTGAAGTACTTGCCGTAGGCGGACATGGTCACTGAGGAGCTGCCCGTGGACTGCTCCACCGTGGTGTTCTGGTGCAACGTCACCCGGCCCTCGGGCTGGATCTGAGTCGTGTTGGCCAGTTCCTTTGGGTAGATGGCTTTCGTGGAGGAGGTGCTGCGCGCAGAGGCTCGGCTCGACACCGACGACGGAACGGAGCTGGCCAGAGAGCTCTGGCCGCTAGGCGGTTGTGACAGCTCCAGAAAGGACACCACGCGATTGGCCTTCGGCTTTAGCTGGTGATGATCAGGCAGATAGACCTCCCCCTCCTCGCCGCCGCCCACCGACAACTCGTCGATCTCCTTGAAGACGGAGTTGATGAAAAGCTCCGTCTCGTCGATGTCATCCTCGGCCAGCACTTTCCGCCGCGCTGTCTCCAGGTCTTCTTGGTCGCTCTCATCACCCTCAAAGCTGCCGGTAAAGCTGTGTCTTGGATTTGCCTCACCAAAAACTCCTCCTTCTTCTTCCTCTGAAGAGGAGGAGGCACCGGTGTGCTCCTCATGGGCGACCAGGTAGTTGGTGAGCAGCTCGGAGAAGCTGCCGCCGCCGCCGCCGCCCTCGCGCCCCCTGGCGGCGAGAAGCTGCGCAAAGGTGCCCGACTCCACTACCCGTCCCTTCTTCATGACGTAGATGTAGTCGCACTGGCTGAGCACTGCCATGCGGTGCGTCACCAGGATGCGCGTCGCCGTGCGCAGCATGCCCTTCGGCCCGATCACCCGGTCGAAGATGTGCCGACTGACGTGGGCGTCCAGCGCCGACAGTGGGTCATCCAGCAGATAAAGTGACGCTGCAGTGTAAGCCGCTCGGGCGATGGCAATGCGCTGCTTCTGCCCGCCCGACAGGGTGATGCCCTTCTCGCCGATCTCCGTCTGGTCGCCCGCCGGGAGGATGGCCAGGTCGGGCGCGAGGGCGCAGGCGTCCACCACGGCGCGGTACTTCTCCTCGTCGTACCGGTTCAGAAAGAGAATGTTCTCGCGCACGGTGGCGTTCTGAATCCACGCCTGCTGGGCGACGTAGGCGATGGAGCGGTTGATCTTTACCTGATGAGAAAGGGTGTTAGATGTTGTTTGGTTTTGCAGTTTAAAGCTTCTTAGCTGTTTGGTTTCACTTACCACCCCGCCCAGCTTGTGCATGTCGCCGAGGAGGGCGCTGATGAGCGAGGACTTGCCGCTGCCCACCTGCCCGACAATGGCTACCAGTTGACCCTTCCGCGCCTGCATGTTGATCTCCTCCAGAATGGGCTTTGACTTTGACTTGCTGCCTCCCTTTGTTGATGATGAGTTCACCGCCTCACCGCCGTTTTCAGTGTCTCTTGACTCCACCGAAAGCTGCTGTTGAACGGCAGCCGGTGACTGCTGCTGCTGTTGCTGCTGCTGATACTGTGGATGATAGTAGCTGAACTTCTTCTTGAGAATCGACTTGAGCGGGCCGTTCAGTGTGGTGCTGCTCCAGGTGAAGGCGCCATTCTCTACCTTGACGTCGTAGATTGCCGTTGAGTCACGGCGAAGCTTCACCAGAGAGCCGTCATTAGGCTGGTAAAGCTCCTCTCC